TCAAAATTAAATTTTTATAATTATCTTTTTTTGATATTTTATTCAAAAAGTTTACTACTTTTTTTTATCCCGGAAAGTAATGATTATTTTTTAAAAGGCCCTGCAATCTTCGATAATTCGGTCAAATTTGCTGACCTTTTAAGGATCTCCAGGGATATTGCTCATACTTAAGTGAAGCTCTTAAGGAACTTCTGAGATCAAATTAACATTTGGTGCTTCATCACATCATATCGTCTGACGAGGAAAGGTCAGGTTTGTCACAATCTCGATATAAATGGCGCCTTAGCGTAATATTTACCCTTTTAGGGGTTTTGAAAGTAGACTCTGGTAAAGAATTAAAAAAATTATTAATGTCAGGATAAAAGTAATCTGAATATAAGGTTCTATCATATAAATTTACAAGAGATATAAAGCAAAAGTAATATGAAGTGCAATCAAAAATCTTTACAATAACAAGTTCCTACTCGGCAAATTGATTTATAGATGAAAATATACCATTGTTAAGTGAAACCCCAAGTATAGTATAGAAAGTTATGTAAGAATGTGACCCTTATTTATAAAACCCCTAAATCACATATATCTCAGTGAGTCCACCAGATATAATCCACTCGAAACTCTTCCCTACCAAGGAGCGTTTTTAGCCAAGCTCTAATCCGAAACTCGCAACTTTTCACCATTTCAGACACTCTGCCTGCTTGCGTCGGCGTACGCGAAGCCTCAGGGCTACAGCTACCAGAACCAGCAAAGCAACTACAAGAATCAACAGAGCAGCTATCAGAACCAACAACAACAAAACAGCTTCCAAATAAAATTGCCTGGCATTAGCAGCACTGCAAGCGCACCACAAACCCCAAGCTTCCTACAACAAGCGCTACAAAACACCAAATTGACGCAGTCGCTGATCAGCACACCAGCCCCCGCGCCAGTGCCAAGCGTTGGCACACCAAATAGCTACTATCAGAGTGCAGCGCTACAACAGGCGCCACAATTTCAATCTAACTTCCAACCCAGTCATCTGCCAGTGCAGCAACCCGCCTTTGCCACCTTCCCACAACAACAATACCAACAAGGCGGTGGCAGCTTCGGACCAGCACCAACATCGTTAGTCACCAAAGACATCTATGTGCATGTTGCGCCAGAAGAGCACGAGGAACGCTACCAACGACCAGTGTTGCCACCACCACCACCACGCAAGCACTACCGTATCGTATTCATCAAAGCGCCATCGCCAAAACCAAGCGCCGCGGCATTGCGTATCAATCAAGCGCCCACCGAGGAGAAGACCATCATCTATGTGCTCACACGCAAACCGGACCCACTCGACTTGGAGGCGGCCTACCAGGAGGCTGCGCCCAAACAGCCCAGCAAACCGGAAGTATACTTTATCAAGTACCGCACACAAGAGGAAGCGCAACATGCACAACGCACCATTCAAGGTAGGTCACAATCACTACAATTTTTTTTTTTTTTTTGTTTTTTTTTTTGTTTTGTAGATTGGCAACAGGTTGTGCTGCGGCTGCGCGTCAAGCACGCGCTGCGAAATATCTGACTGCGCAAAGTTTGTCGCTGTTTGCTTCTCATTTCCTGTTCTGCGACATTTGTTATGCAAATCCAATGCGCCGTCTAATGGCGGTGAACATCATCGAAAATTTGCCAAATCAACGCCGTTATGATGAATCATTTTCGCACGTAGCAACAACAACAACAAAAATATGCTTTGATTTAGTTGCACAATCTCGGCATTTATTGGCGCTGCCAACGCTCACCCAACCATCTCAAGCAATTTATGTAAATTTGTTAGTCTTTCCTAAATTTGTATGCAAATCGGCGGAGCGGCATCTCTGATGTACCTATAAATAGTATGCAAGCATTTTTGGTGTTATTGGCATAGGTCGAAAGCACTTGTTTCCCCGCTGACTTAGACCATCGAGATTGGAATGCACAAGGCCGTTGGTAGTTCTTCGGTCTTTTTCTTATTATGACACGAATATATTCTTTTAACGAACATTAAACGAGGTCATATTACACGCATTCTGATTTTATTGAGATAACATCCAAATTTGAATAAGAAAAAAGAATATTATGTTAATGAAAGTCTTATGATTCTTCCGATTTACGAGTATTTTGGCTTAGAAATTGATTAATGCTATTTGCTTTAATAAGTTTTCGACTTTTATTAGTTAAATGAAACTAATTTAAATAGACAGTCCTTTAACTAAGTCAATTAAGAAAGTTTTTTTCGTAATTTATTATTTAGAGCAATTTACCAGGTGTCCAAATTAAGGTTTCTTAATGAAAATTTTGGGAACTATTGTCCACTATACTTTCTTGGTTCATTAGTTTTGGAAAAAATCAATAACCATTTAGTAACACTTCTTGGTCTAAAGAAGTAGATAAACTGGTTTTCAAGTTATAAAGGAATTCCTGGAAACGAAATAGCTTATGAGATTGCCAAATGTGCCATCCGTCAGGCTACCGTAGAACCACAGGAAATTGTGAAGGCACTAAAATGATATACAATAAAATCTCCGAAAAGGTCGATAGGCGGATTAGGCCGGATTACTTACTTAGAGACATGCAAAAAAGTCAAGTTCATAGCAAATGTGCCGAGAAAAACGCTCATCTTTTTACTTACGCGGTTTCGAAAGGACGGCTAGACAGCTATTGACCTTTTGGCACGTCACATGCGCTCCGGATGGGTATAAGTAAGGACGATACATGTAGAAAGTGCAGGGAAGTAGATATGAAAACCATGCTGGAGCACCTCCTACGCTTACGACCAGCATTATATAGAGCTCGTAAAGGAGCTTTGAAGTTCAGCAATTAGTTGAAAATTAGATACCCAGTCATTATTGAAGCTCGCAAAAAGTCAACGCTTTCCCGTACGACGAATATTTCAGCTCAAACTTAACTGAACTTCTGGCATTACTAATGACTAGTAGGTCTATATATGGCATGACATTCCGCCCGTAGAACCTAAGTTAACGTATTCAAACTGCTTTTCCGTTGGCACTACAATGAAAGGTGTGGCCCGAGAACATAAGTTAATTGTCTCCATCCTTTGCAAAGTCACACTAGTTCTACATTCCAAGTGCAGATAGGTACACATGCGCTTCGTTCTATCATTGGATGCGTGGGTGATCTTCTTCGCGCGGAAAAGAGTTCTTTATAATGTATCAAGCACATTTTCATGTCGGTTAGTCATTGCTCATGCTTCTGTGCCATATAATGAGACGGGAATGATAAGAGGCTTAAATAGCGTAAGTTTAATACACAGGACTAGCTCTCAAGACGCGAGTAGTCGTTGGATGTCTCCACCAGGTTTTTTGTCTTTTCCTCGTTCACCACAAAACCAGCCGCATTCGCTTCTTTTTCTAGGAAAGGATGCGCTATAAATTAGTTTGAATAACCAATATTTATTATCACAGAGCTTAGAAAAGCTTCAGAAATAAAACAATAGAGTTTTGAGGGTTTGACTGGTGCTTTTGAAAAAAATTCGATGTTGAGCTCTGAAGCTAGATTTCAATTAAATAATTATCTCAATTATTTTATTATTTAATTACATATCTAGAGATAACAAAATTATTAGATTATTGCCTATCAAACAATTTCGTTAACTGAATTTTCACTTTCCAGAGCAATACGACCAATTAGGTGGCACCACACAGGTCTCCGACGAGGGCATCGCACCGGTAACCTCAGTGATAGGATCGCTGGATCCACGTGGCGCATCCGCCGGCGGCAGCATCAGCAGCTCCAGTGCATCGAGCAGCAGCAGCGCTAGTAGCARTGCCAGCAGCAGCAGCAGTGAAGGTGGCAGTTTAGGCAAATATTTGCCCCCAATTACACGACTCTAAATTTAGTTAATTCAAATTTTTAGCGAGATTAAATTAATCGACTGAAAGCGATTTTACGGCACAACAAAGGGAACACAAAAAAAGACGCACATTAACAAGACACACGCACACACACACAAGTCATACAAACACACAAAGTCCACAAGAAAATCAACCACACACACACAAAGTAACAACATTACACACACACACACATACGTTTATAGTCGCTCCAACAATTTTACGTTCGATTATGCTCGCTTGCATCGCCGAATGCAAGCGAATCAAAGTAGAGTTGATTTTCGTTATTTTTCAATTTTTACCTTGTTTGTTGATAAAGTCTGTTAATTAACTTTGTTGTTACTGTTATAAACTCTCTGTATTTGTGTCATTATGCTGTTAATGGCTTTGAACAAAATGCGCGATTTGTTGTTGTCTGATTTGTTAATTGATATTTTCGGCAAAATATTATTTTGTTGATTTATTTATTTAGTTTTCGTTTTCTTTATTATATTTTTGTTATTTACTGTTAATTTAATTGGTATCGTTATGTCTTTATATATACTCATACTATATATAATAACTGATCGCCTCACAGCTGCCGCAGCAGGCCATCCGCGGCTAGTCGATCGTCAAGGCCCGAAGCGCCAAATGCCAACTAAATTATAAATAGTATACATACCTACACATATGTATGTAGTTGTAAGTTGTTATGTAATAAATATGCATTTTGCCACTTTTTCTACTATTTCTTGTAAATATGTATGTTAATAGAAAAGAAATAAAATTATATTTTTATATATTTGAAAAAAGTTCAAACCAGTTTATTTGTTTACCTCCAAATTTGATTTAACTTATGGTCCAACGCCGCATTTCGACACGGAGAAATTAGTGTTGTGTTGAGCAAGCGCGTATGGAGGAGAGATGTTTAAGACGAAAATGTCGAAATGTCAAAAATATAACAACAACATTTCACCTATATGAAATTATAAAAATAACAACAGGGTGAAGCATGTTTTCTTTATAAGAGTTTATAAGGTAAAGAGTGAGAAAGAAATTGGCTGAATACCAGAGCGCTACTAACTGACCTCCTTAAGACGATGCTGCGTGAATTTGACAGTATGCGTGTATGTGTGAACAGGCATGTTAAATGTTACTTTAATAAGTTTTTGGAAATTAAAATAATGCGCCATAAAAGATCCAATAAATTGAACAATATTAACGTTAGCCATTATTTTTTCAATACTTTCTTGATCTATGTTAAGTATTTATTAACTAATAAGTTTTTTTTTCTTATAATATTGATATATTTTTAATCCAACTTTTTGGATCCCATGCACTTGTAGTATGCCTAGTCAAGGATGGCTTGTGATCTTTCAATATTTTCGATGGAAAACCGGAAAAAAGTCACAACAAATGCAAAAAGAGAAAAGTATGCATTAAATTATTTACTTTGGTTTAATTTTTTCGTCTTTTATAGATTTCGAGTTATAAACATACATACATGCAACTGATTAAGGTGGTAAGCAAACTATTTGTTTTTTATAATATCTATTATTCGATTTTTTTAATATCAACTACACATACTGAAAGTGTAGGAAAGTCGGCCTGAGAAAGACACTCGAGTACCAACACTGCACTTGTCAAAATATAGAATTCGTATTAGATATTTAGGAGCTTCGCAGTTCAAAAGAATAGATGAACTGTTGAAATTGAATACTTAGTCTCTGTTAAGCTTCGCAAATAGAGTCGTGACACCCTGTATGAAGAAACCTTCAACTTGTAGTAAACTGAGCTTTTATCTAGCATCACAAAGTAGATATGTTTATGGCATGGCAACCAGCTCGAATAACCTAACTAAAAGACTGTTACAGAATGTTACTTACATGTGGATCAGTTCAATACGTAATAGCTTCCGGTGCAAGAACTGATTTTGGAGTGATCTACGACTGTAATGTGAGAAGAAAGTTGTAGCAATATTTTCTTCTTATGTAATATCAATCTGTATCCCATCAAATTGTTTACTTTTTTAAATATTTTAAATATCTTGAAAGATATCAAGCTAATGATAAAGCTTTTAAAGTAGGATAAGAAATTGTTTATTTATTATTTGATATATAATCGGTGCGAAAATTAACTTCGAACAAAGAGTCAACATTAAATTATATTTGAAAATTGGTAAACCTTCTACTGAAACGTTGCAATTGATAAAAAAAAGTTTATGGCGTTGATTGTCTATTCCGTCGCAGTGTGCACGAGTGGTTCCAGCGCTTTCAATGTGGTCGTGAGGACACAAATGACGATCAACATGTGAGTCAATCAAAATCCGTGATCACCAGAAGTTCCTAGGAAACTGTGCGTGAATTCATCAAAAATCTGCTGAAATCATCATTAAAATTCATGGAAATGGAATTGAACAACTTCAAAACATTTTTTTATCGCATTTTGACCGAACATTTGGGCTTACGAAAGGTGTGTGCACGGTTTGTTCCGCACGACGACCACAAATTGCTCAGAATCCAATATTCGAAGGACGATTATTTGACCAAAAATCATTTTTTAACCCTTAACCACTCCTTTTTCTTTCACCTGATATGGCACCGGCTTCTTCCTTTTCGGAAAAATGTATTTGCCCATGAAAGGAAAGCATTATGCAGACGTAGAGGCCTTTCAAAAGGTTTGCACCGAAGACGCGTTCGACATCCTATTGGACCATACAAAAAGCTGTATTGAAGCAGAGGGAGAGTATTTTGAATAAAATAAATTGATTTTACCGAAAAAACCATTTGTTCTATTTTTTTGGAACGCACCTTGTAGTACTTTCTGAAAATAGTTAAGCAATGTTTCATGATTTGAGGTAAGTTGACTTGACCATAACACTTTAGTTGCCGATACAACATTTTTGTCATTTTCAGTGATTTTTGAGGGAATAAATAATTTTAAAAAAATTCAAATAAGTTATTAAGTCCTAACTTAACTACATCTAAATACTCTATCAGAAATTGGATCAGGTGAAATAAATAGTTGGCACATTTCGGAGCATGAAAGTTACTATACATAATTTCAAACTAATTTCCAGCTTCATTGTTCGATTTCATGATTTTCAAATATTTCCAATAAATAAAAATTTATTGAATCATAAACAAAACAAAGCAAAGGCTAATTTTGATGGTTCCGAAGTTGTAATATATTTCACAATGCAAAAGTTGTTCAATTTGTGTGGTGGCTAAACGGACAGAGCTAAATCAACCCAGTTCGTAATGCTGATAATTTATATATACAATTTTTAGGGTCTCCGACGTATGTTTCTGGCTGTTACGAACTTCGTGGCATAAACATGGTCTGAGATAATTGAGAAGGATACCTAGTTCAGCGTATAGTGAATACAAGGAGAATATAGTCGAATATCTTCATGTTCTCGTCAATATCCTTACATGCCCTTTTGTACATTCGAAATCAAATTTTGCTTTTCTCGATTACATTTTGTGTATAAGAAATTTCAGTTGCCAAAATCTTAACACTATCTGTTCCTGTGATTTGTGTTAGGCATACAGTTAAAATCTTAAAAGATTTTGTTGGTCTGAGATAATTGGGAATAAAATTTTGTAGCATCCAGCAAATTATGTATATCTTTATATATAAAAAATACGTGTCACGTGGTTTGTCCGCCATAGGATGGTAAAAACAAATCATATCAAATAAAAAATAGAGCGAAAAGTCTATTAAAAGGACATTGTTGATGTTTCTTAAGTACAATCTATTAAGCGAACAACACTATTAACTGGACAGAAAGTCTGGAAACTCGACAATAAGAAACCAGCCTTAAATTGGTAATTTTTTCCGATGAAATTTATTTGTATGAATATTTCCAAAATTAAACCTCAAACTGTTTCGCCTTTATTCGTAAATAATTTTTTTCTGTATAATAGTAAATGTAATAGTATAAATTGTATAGTACTGCAACGCGCGGTCGGATCTAATATTATTTTATATAGGAAGCTATTATCAAGGGCACTTTTACTTTAAAAAAATTATGCACAATAACAACAAAGTATCGTTTAAAACAACTTTTATATTCAACATGTCGATCTTCGGTAAGGACGAAAACAACATTCATGAACTACAAACTCGTTTCATAAACTAATCGTAATTTCTGTCAAATTATACAGAATTCTTTTCAAATTTGCAGTTTTCTGGAGGTCATACAATAGTTCAACTACCTTTCGCAATTTTACTCCGGTTTCGATCGCTTTGTTATATTTGAGCTTTTTCCTATATAATATCATAATATCGATATATCAGCACATAATGGAAGTGATGTTCATCATTAGGCGATTGATAGACTAGACCACTTAATTAACGTCTCATTAAAAACAAAGCTCTTAAATATTATATTAGCTGTATGGAAATGGTAAAACTAAAATCAAGTCGTTAGCTAAACAATTATAACAAAACCGCCAAAAATGTTGAGCAACCCCCTTTAAGGTAATGAGATATCCCCCCGTAACTATTGTATTTGTGCATCGTTATCTCCAAACGACATATTTTCGATTAGTTCAGTTAATTTTGGTGCTTTGTTTTAAAACTAATTTTCAATACATAAAAAAGCTACAAACATGCAAACAGCAACAAAAAGACTCAACTCACCGGTTGGACTTTTGCAGCGAACTTAGGCAGCGAACAAATCCCCACATGCATAACTAAAATCGTTTCGTGTGGAACGTTCGACTGTCGTGTCGTATACACGCTACGCTTTTCGGTAGAGAAATTTGCATTGTGGTCGCGACAAGTTGCGGCTAAGTCCATACAATGGGTCAATGTCACACCTCAACGGCTTAAGAGTGTCATAAGGAAGTCGACGTCAATATATGCACATGCTTGTGTGTATGCTGTGGCTGGCGAGCGCCTAAAACCGACTGTCGGTAGCTGGCAGTGATGACTGTGAATAATCTGAGCGTAACTGAGGAGTATAAAAATGACACCGAAATTCATACATAACAACTCTTAAATATTTCCATAAGGTTTAAAATTTGCTTCGCGCAAGAAAGGCATGGCTGATGGCTGACGTGTGGTAAAAAATACTAAGGAGGTGTTTTGGTTGGCTTGACTATTTGAATATGTACATATGTATGTGGCTTAAAATAAAATTGACTTTGACAACATTATGTCATTCGCTGGAGTATTGAAATATACATATGTAAGTAGTGACAAATAAAACTGTTAATTTAGTTAATTACTGGGTGCAGTGCGAGGCAGGCGTTTCCTGGCAACTCTGGTTGGCTAATCCACCAACTCCTTGATTGCGTCAAGCTTATGATAAAATTAGTTTCACAGTTTATTCCTCAATCGACTGACAGATTGTCTTGATTGCAGACTTTTTAAAACTAATCGCGCAATAAAAGGTCAAATAAATAGTTAAATCTGGCATATATTTAAATTAACTTAACTTTACAATGTTTGTTCAAAGGGGGAAACTCTGCCTGGAGTTGCAAGTTCTCTACGTTTAGAGGAAGCAATCGCGATGTCCTTCTGTGAAATTCTAACAGCTGAGAGCATACACAAAGACCGTGGAGAGTCGATTCGTGACGACTTTGGGACAAAGAGCAAGCTGAGGAGAATCAAGAGGTGCCATTTCATTAAAAAAACACTACGGTTTGGTATGGATTCTGGGCCGGTGAAATGGTTGGTTCATATTTCTTCAAAAATGCTGACGGTGAGAACGTAACCTTCAATGATGAACGTTGTTGAGCCATCATAACCGACTATTCAATGCCTGAAATAGTAGCCCGTGACGGCACTTCTCGCACATCGCATCAATCAATGGATTTATTGAGAGAACAGTTCGGTGGGCAGATAGTTTTACGTTTCATGATAGTGTGATATCACACTGTTCGACTTTTTCCTGTGGAGTTAGGTAAAGTCTAAAGTAAACGCGTACAATCCCGCTTCGATCTAGACCTTTCAGCAAAACATCACGCGTATCAATCGCCAGTTATTCAACGGATGAACCATCTGAGACGTAGCCGCGGCCAAGAATATTCAAGAAATAAATGCGAAAGAATGTTCATTCTAATAATAACAAACATTCCCTATTAAATTTGAAGTTTCTGTAGTTTTTTTTTTTTTAAATGTACAGATCGACGAAATGAGTCGCCCTTTAGTTTACTTAATCCCGAACACAGACGTTTTGGGTACCACAAAGAATTCTGTGAAAGTCGTGAAAACACCACCAACTTGCCTCATGCGAGTCGTCCATCTGTCTTCTTATTGAAGTTAACATGGAAATAAATAGTTAAAGAAACGTTGTTAAAAATCATCATCATGGCATCATGTAGTCTCCGTAGGCAAAGGACTTCTACAACTACTTGTATATGTGTATACTATCGATGGACTCAAAACATGATCATTCATATCAATACTAGACTCGTACCAAAATTCCGGATTCTTTAATAAAAAAGACGTTAAGGAAGTCGCAAAAGATATGTTTGAGTAAGAGCCAATATTCATCAAATGTATAATTTCTGGTTACGAGACGCGGATTTATAATTTTGACTTGAAACTGTCCAGCACTCCAAAAATGAGCCGAAACTGGAAAAACTGAGAATCACAGTCGATGCTTTTAATAAATGTATGGAAAATTGAATTGGATTGCTGGCATAAAAGGAGCCTATGTTGAAGGCGATTACAAATCTTTGAGTTAAAACGTAACTTCTTTTTGTCAGTCCGCGTGAAAGATGATGAGATAGTATATAATACAGAACTAAGAACACAAACAAAATATGTAAAAAGTACTAAATCCACAAAATCACCGAATTTCGTTAATCCCCAGACAATCCCAGTCTAAGCCTTTACAGAATGGTTAGTTTTCTTATTAATGTCCTGAAAACTAAAACTGCACTTTCTATGAAAATAAAATCTGGCGCGTAAGAATCCACAACCCAAAAGTTTGAATCCAACTACCAAAAAACGGAAAGTGTGTTCAACTAACAATAGTTGGTGCCACCAAACTTCCTTATTTCACACTTTACAAAAGTATATAATTTTAGTGTCACACACCAACATCACGTCATCGCTCAGCTGCTTAAATCACCCGATATACTTAAGGCAAATATGAATATTTATTGAAATTGCGGGTTTTAAAAATTCCACATTTTATGATGTCTTTGTAACATTTACGCTACATCGCTTTAGTGTGCGATATTGTGAAAGTGTGCAAAGGGAGTAGCCAAGAAAATGCAATAAACTTGCGTACAAAAACAATTCCGACGTAATCGTGAAGAAAACACCGGTGCCGGCGTTAGCGTATAAAGACGAATAAGACGTAAGCTAAGCCGCTCAGCGGTTAAAATGCGCAACGATCGTTAAAACCAATGAGACCGTGCGCAACAGCAGCAACAATAACAACGTAACAACAATACGCCAACGCTTGTTGCGCCAAACGATGATTTCGACTAACTATTGTGTTATTTATCGATTTTGTGTTTCAATTTTAAGTATTTGTTTCTACAATAAGCGCTAATGTGGTTTCAGATATCTATTGACACTATTTCCATACCACATAACTGTTGTTTTGACACAACTAATGGCCTCTAGCCATTAATCAACAAATATGGTTGTCAAATATCTCCCTTCCGCCTTTTTGTTTTTTGAATTTCGCGGCTATGTATAAAGCGTTACAGAGCTCATATCTGGCAATACTATACATCCTTGCAAAGGTCTTGACATAACCTACAAAATGATGCTATGCATGATTAGTTTAGATATTGCTTCTAACAGTTATAGACGTGTAAACATGAAGTTCCCTAACGCTGAAATTCGCCCAATTTTAAAGTTCTCCTGTGATAAAGGTAAATCCGCTAGAGAAACGTTCCGTGAGATTAATGGTGAAGGTACTCTATCACTTTGAATGGTTTCGACGATTCAGAGCGGATGAAAACGACACAATGGATAAGCCAGCCGCCGGAAGACCTGTGACGACGAATACCGATCAAATCATGGAAAACATCGGGTTAGACCGGCATGTGGCATCTTGTGACATATCCCAGAAGATAGGAGTTAGTCACCAAACCATTTTAAACCATCAGCAGATGGCTGGATACACAAAAAAGCTTGATGTTTGGGTGCCTCATGATTTGAAGCAAAAAAAACTTCTGGACCGAATCAATACCAGCGATGTGCTACTCAAAACGAACGAACTCGACCCATTTTTGAAGCGTACACACATACGACAATATCAAGCGAATACAGTCGTGGTCGGAGGCCGGTGAATCGTTTCAAACATTGGCCAAGCCAGGATTGACAGCCAGGAAGGTTTTGCTGTGTGTTTAGTGGGATTGGAAGGGAATCATGCATTATTAGTTGCTCTTGTATGGTCAGAGGCTTAATTCTACCAGCGGGCGATCGACCAGAAGCATTCAGAAGTGGCCAACAGGAAGGGAGTAGTGTTCCACCAGGATAACGCCAGACCACATACTTCGTTGATGACTCGTCGGAAGCTACGAAGCTCTGATGGGAGGTTTTATCGCATTCACCATATAGCCACCATATAACGCCCTTGTTAGTGTAAAGTTGCACTCAAAAAAGGCTTGTGAAAAGTGGCTGTCCCAGTTCTTCGCAAATAAGGAGGGGGGCTTCCACGAGCGAGGTATTCTGAAGTTGCCGTCTAGATGGAAAGAGATCAACGACCGAAACGGTATTTATTTGAATTAAATCTGATTACTGTAACACTTTTTAGCCAAAAAACATCCGTTTTCGAGAGAAATCTTCTGCGGAAAATTAAAGCCTGGCGCCAAACAAAGGAAAGGCAAAATGAACGGTGTCTATACTAATAAAGAAGAAGAAGTGCTTTCCTATTTCTTAGTCATTACGAATTCACTCTTTTATCTCTTCGGTGGTGAAATCAAAAAGTTTTCGTAATAAATTTGTAGTAAAAACGACGACAACCGTAATCTAACTCCTTAGCAAGTAGCTAAGGTTACCTACAAACATATTTAAGCCCAAAACACACCGATCAAAAATATTTTTATGATTTCACTTTCTAATTTTCCAACCACCTTATACGCTCCTTATCTTAAGTACTCTAATTAAATGTAAGTAATGAAGTCAATATCATGTGTACTTCATATAAGAATTTTGAAAACACTTCTTTGAATAAACACTAGTGATTTAACATTCCATATTAACTGGCAATTGCTATTATTTCACTCACACTGGTGGCGACAAAATAAATTTCAAGACAAAGACGCCTAAAGGTATGCGCCGGAATAAAGAAATGTGTTCTTCAAGCTCGTGTACTTCCGTTGCTAAGTTTTGAGATTTGTCTATGAAACAGCCTAGCTTTCGCGGCTGTATATCAGTGCTTTAAAGTGTTGTGATTTAATGTCCGTCTTTTAAACTGGTTTATTTACCAATCAATTTTATTATATTAGCGGTTAGATTCGGTTATGTTAGAGATGGCTGATCAAAGAATGCAATTACTATATGTAGTCCTTTGTAAGGCCGTAGAAAAGAAGGACTCATGTGTTCGATCTTATGAATTATCAAAATGTTTAGTAGCCAATACAAATTTGTGCAGGCGTTTAATTTCCATTCCCACTTGCTCGGTGGGGTGTCTGAAGGTATGCGCTCCGAAGTGTTTGCTTGACCCCCCAAACTCTTTCCATCTGTTTCCTTACAGCTTCTGCAGAAGACGTCTGGTAAGATTCCCAGCCTTTTTGAGTGGAAGCCATAGGGCAATGGCCTGTTAAAAGCACCAAATCTAAGGAGAGGCTAGCCTAACTCAGGGCAAAGAGATCACTAGATCTCTTGCGATCGATCTTGGGCTAAAAGGCTTTTGCATGTAACGATGATGGCCCTGAACAAGCTTTCGCAAAGTAGTAGAACACAAGAGGATACAGGAGTACCGACCTGCTCCATTCTACCAATAGCGGTTTTAGGGTAGCTTTTTTGGCTAGCTAATCAGCCTTACAGTTTCCTGAGATTTCGCTGTGGCCTGTCTCCCTTGAAATCTAATGCAGGATATCTCTTGCCATCACGCGCTACTTTCGAATAAGTAGTTAATTCAGAACTAAAGTCCGCTCTGGACAAAGACCAAATTCTACAAGTTCCTCTTCATTCTCGTCCTGCTGTATGGTACAGAGACATGGACGATGATATCATTTGATGAATAGGACTTAGGAGTGTGCGAGAGAAAGGTTTTGCCCATTGGTTCTCGCAGTCGATAGAACGATGAGCTGTAAGGGATATACACCGACGTTTACATAATTAAGCGAATCAAGAGACAGCAGATGCGCTAACTAGGTTACGTTGTCCGGATGGATCAGAACACTCCAGATTTAAAAGTAATCGGATCGGTACCCGCCGGTGGCAGCAGAGGAAGAGGAAGGCCTCCAATTCACTGAAGAAATCTGTTGGAGGATAACCTGGTTGTACTTGGTCTCGGAATGGCACCAAATAGCGAACAGAAGAAACGAAAAAAGATAGAAATAATGGTCTCTTTGTTTGCTGTAGAAAAACCTTACAAAACTATAAAATTTATCACTGGTTGAGTGTAAGACGACATTTGCTGAACCTAACCTTATATCTTACAGAATAAATTATGGTTCCCTGATCTGTATTGGACCAAAAAAAATTCGACTGAAAGTTCAAACAACTGACTTATAAAGTCAAAAAATATTTTCGTTTATTTCATTCAATAAATTAATACAAACTATTTGTGTGTGAAGGGCGAATGAATGATACGATTGTGGGGCTCGCATGATTCAGAAGAAAAAGTAATAAAGAAGCCATAATAGATTGTATAGATTGAAGAGAAAATGCATGAACAAGTCGGAGAATGTATGAGTGACTTAAAAACTATTAACTAAATTATATTGTAAAATTCTGAAAGTTCTAATGAACCCGTTTACTTCTTCTTGATAGGCAAGTATTTGTTGTTGGGTAAATTATAGTTGCCAGCCGATTGGAAGTTCTGCTGCACGAAGGACGAATGTGAATGTTGCTGGCCAATGCTGCCACCCAAATTCAGAGAACCGCTTGAGACTGATGTAAGGGGAGCAACGCCCTCATCGGAAATGTGCGTAGAACCACCAAGAGCATCGTATTGAGCTTGGATTTCCTGTTGGGCGCGTTGAGCCTCCTCCTGAGTCTTGTACTTGATGAAGTACACTTCAGGTTTGTGTGTTTTCGGTTCACCTTGAGCCTGTTGCAATTGCTGTTGCACCTCGGACAAGTCGGGTTTCTTCGACAACACATAGATGATGGTCTTCTCTTCATTGGCATTCTGAGCTTGTCTCAAAGCAGCGCCGGCCAATTTTATATTGTGTGTTGGTGCCTTGATGAAGACAATGCGATAATTCTTGCGAATTGGGGCATTATCGAACTGTTGTCCGAACAAAGCCTCTTCCTGGTCTTCGGGTGCTGAGTGAATGTAAATATCCTTAGTGATGATGGCAGTCTGTGTTCGTGGTTGCTGGAATGATTGGAAGTTCTGTTGGAAACCACCTTGACCGCCGGAAGGGAAGCCGAAAGCGCCGCCACCCAGCTGTTGTTGTGGTTGGGGCTGAATTGGCTGGCTAAGTTGCGCAGCACCGTATTGCGCCTGTTGCTGTACCACTTGTTGTTGCACAAATTGTTGCTGATGGTTCTGTGAGATTGAAGACACTCCACCGTTTTGTGGCGGTGACAAGTAGTTTTGTTGTGGTAGCGCTTGTGGCTCTGGCAAATGGATTTCTTGTGCTGGTGGTTGCAATGGAATCGATGGTGGTGGGCTGAATGTTTGCAATGGTGGTGACTGCACTGGCGAGTAAAGTGCGCTTGGTTGTTGTGGTAGTGGTGCTGGCGGTGCTGGTGGTGAAATGGGACCGGTAATGGGTGCAGCTGGACCTGCATGCGGTACCGTATGATGATGATGATGATGATGCTGATGACTTACAGCTGGTACAATGGGTGCAGATAATCCGACTTGTGATTGTTGATACTTGTAGCCTGATTGAGCGCTAACCACGGCGAGTATCGTGAAATACTGTTTGGTGAAAAATTGTTTTTATTAATTTAAGCACAAAAGCTCATCCTGTCTTATCATAATACCTACCAATGCGACACTGATTGCCTTCATGTTTGAGTATTTTTCGTTAATTTTTGCGCTGTGATCTTCGTCACTTTCTCTGACAAGTTCAAATGCCTGACTGATGCCTAAACCTGAACCAGTTAACACTTTTATAGTCGGTGAACCAAATGGTAATCGAAATCTTTCTCAGCAAACTGAATCAATTCGCATTCGAATTAATCCACGAATTTGTAGCCGCTTTACATCCGTTATTGTCGTTATGCGCAAGCGCACCACGCACGTGCGACCTTTACATGTATCACCGAAAATCGTCACATAACCGCGATTAGCACATCGCGGAATCGACCGCTCGACCGGTCCTCTATTCCATTTTAAAATACATCCCACTTAGCATAAGGTCGTTCGCTGGCAACATTTTAATCGATTATCTAACAAGCCAAGCCAGCATTAGCTCACCACCCGTTCAATGGACCGCAGACGCGCCTTCGAACTCTGCAACTGTAAACCTTTTTTACGTTACGTTTGGATCAAGTTTTATTTCTCCACGTTTTGTTTCCGAAATAAGAAATTTTTAATGTTATCTTGCTTATGGTTAATTTAATGCAAAATTATTATTATTATTTTATAGTCTTCGTAACATCTTTTAAATAAAAACATAAAACTGAAGAAACAAGAGGTCCAAAAGCGCAACGCAACAAACGCTACAAAAGTAGATATTCGAAGCATTCTAATTTGCATATTGCCATTCATTTCATTTCACTTTTCCTGTTTAGCCATCTGCCCCGGCGTGGAATTGTTGGACCCGACGGTGATGTAGAAACTGCTTACCCGCCCATTACTCATGTTAACAGCCATTAAATATGGCCCTATTATATATTACAACAACAAACTTTAAAACCAAGCTACCACAATATAATTACGCAGCATCGCTTGCTAAGCTCTCACGCTCTCACTTACTCTGTTCGATTCTCTCATGCAAGTTGGGCAGCATTTGAGGATTAGCAACATGTTGCTAGCCACATACTGCAGCATCATGCTCTATGCTATCGTTGAAGATTACTGGAGTGTATGTAGAGCTACATATATATTATATAGTAAATAACAGTTTCGTTATGTTTAAAAAAAAAAAGAATAATAATTTGTGGTGTGGTGAGAATGACCAGGTGCATACAACTTTTTTTAATTTTAGATTTAGGTCGGTTTTAGTATTTTTCTTAAATAAATGTTAGGAATTTTTATTTTATTTTATTGAAAACAAACTCCATGCCATTTCCTTATATCTGTTAAGCCACTATGTTTCTGTAAAAAATTAATTGCTTTCCCATGTTGAAGACTTTAAATTCAACTGACTTTATTCAAGAAACAAAAATTTAGTCTCACAGTGAGTGCCAAATGATTTTGTAAGCCTTACGATCGTTGCATTCCTTATTGTTTACGTGATCAAAGTTCGACATGGCAATACTTCTAATATTCGAAGTAGACTTATTCTAGAATTCTGCCAATGTAATAAATAGTGCGCTTTGTGGAATAATGAATAGTTCTTTCTTTTAACTAATTGAGAACCAATAAAAGTTAGCGGCACATTCTATATACTCTATAACATGAACATGTGACTGACAGTCAAAGTTGTGGTGCTTAATAATCCAAAATAATTTAAATTGTTGTTACCTGTTAGATAAATTCAATAGTTACAACAGTCATTTAGGTCAGCTAAATCGAAAGTGTTTAGATTCGAAGCCTAAACTCCATCGATGGGCGTCGCACATATAAAATTATTCCAAAGCTAGTAAGGCAGGGCTGAGTTCAGGTACAACCGAAAAGTTTATGATCTAGCAACTTACAGGAATCCAAACGCGGAAAATTCCTTCATATGGTAGCAAAAATTGATATTAGAATATGGAAATTAGACTAGTATCGACGCAATTTCATCTACTTTTTCCAATAACACATACTATTAAGATGTCTCATACTAATAAAATGTTAACTGGGTTTCATAAAATACTTCACTTATAATCAGCAATATATATTTAATATATAGTTATGTATATAGGGGTGAGGTCATATTTTCGCCCAATTTTGTCCATTTTATCCACAAAGATACACTGTTATGAGTAAAACACGTTCTCTCTCAATTTTATTAAAATAATTCACATATAGGTCGATATATGCGGTATAAAGTCATCCGGAAGTTTGAAAATACGGCTACGGGAGGGATTGACCCGTTTCAATACATTTCGTATAAACAGATATACTATTATCAAGAAAAGATTATCTCTGAATTTCAATTCTATATTCCATACATTGACTGATATTTTCAGTGAAAAGTTAACTATTGATACTAGAGCCCCAGTACTCTGTTACAGTTTTTATTGGATTTACAATATTTTTGGTTATAAGGTGGCATACTTTAAAGATATTATTCGTGAATAGTTTTATTACGTTATATTAATTGCTTCTCGATTAGTGGACTGGAAAGTGAAAGAATCAAATGTAATTTGAAGTAATGTTATATTGGAAGTACGGCTGGCTGTAGTACGATTTCACCTTTTATCACACTGTAACTTAAAAATGCCAGATGAATGTAACGTACTAAATTTGGTTGAAGGTGTTGTGTGAGGCGGCTTAAAGATTCCTTTCATACGGGTGTGTGGGCCTATCACGCTTTTTTTCCACATAAAAAAAAAAAAACTTTTAAATTCCATCTGATTGTATCACCTTACAGTATACAAATTAAACGCCTTTAAGATATTTCATCTTACTCCCAAAAATTGTCGAAATCGGACATAAATTATATGGACCCTTGAAATTTTAATGAATTTCAGAATTAATCCTTTTATAATAACAGTGTATGCTATTATTATTAAAATGGATAAAAACAGGGCAATACTACCGCTAGTTTAACACACAGTATTGCCAACACCTGAAGCTATATTCATGGCTTTGATCCTTGCAAGTTGCGAAAATATAAAATGTTCAGTTTCACCCGAAGCTACCTTGCTTGTTGTCACTTATGGTTAAACGTTTTCAAAATGTTCTTGTACTCACACACTTTTAGGGAGTGTTAATGCTTCCATCAAAGCATAAAAATATTCCAAAATTGTTTTCTTATAGATATTATGGCCGAACTCAATAACAGAAGTATAAATAACAACTGGGTGACCAACTTCTTCAAATGGCAATTGAAATTCAGACAACACGCCCGACCGAAAGGTGTCGGGTCTCTCTTTAGTTATTTTTCAAGCTTTTTTGGTTTTCTAAACATCTCTTATTGCAATGTATTTATATTTATTAGAAAATTTTTCTTAAAAAATATTTGATTTAGTAATAATAATTTAACAGTTTCCGCTCTATTAATTTTTAGTCATTTTTAATATACAAGTCATCACTGTGGAGCTTGCATTTTTATGCTTTGAGTTCACTGACACACCTTACAACGTAATATGATTTAAGTTCACGCTAAAATGTTTATGTGCTATATTTATGGCCTATAGGCTATTAAATATGAATATCAAGTCACATAGGTTGTCTTGGCTATATTGAAAAATATATATAAAAATAATTTATTGTTTTATTTTCATTGTGGGCGAGGTATAATTTTTGTATGAACTAGACTTATGCAACAAAATAAATAAATAAATAACCTCACATTGTCATTGTAATTCAACCGGATTTTAAAACATTTTTTTTTTAACAAGTTAAAGTAATTTATTGCCTAATAAAATGACACTATTAAACAAGATTTTTTAGGTTAAGTACCACACATAATGCATCATTTTATGAATTTGAATCAACAAATTAACATACAAATATTTATCGCAATCGTTCATAAGTGGCGTATTGATTTATGGATTTTTTTTTTTATTTTTATTTTTTTTTTTTATTTGTTTTTTTTTTGGAATTATTTAACAGCCAAATACTATTGAAAACGTTAATAAGCCTATTATAACAAAGGTTCAAGTTAAAAATGTCTGAAGGCTGCAGAAGAGACATTTCCATATACTAACACTGCTATTAATATATTAACCAAATTAAATTAAATAACAAGTTATTAATTAACGAACTAAATTGATTGCCCACATTAATTACAGTGTTAAAATGCAAACGCCAGATGATGGATGCCAAATTTCAATCAAACCATTAATTCAACACTTGTGGCTTCAAAGCAAACCAAATGCTCACAAATGCTCACTGGCGTTTCTCAATAATTTATAACAACAGATAGATCACTTCGGGTGCAGCTCATTTCAATACTAGCAAGACATCTGATGATTATGGAGATTTGTCAAAAACTTTTGATTAGTTGATTTACTTTTATTTATTAATTTATCGATTGAGTAGTTCTCGACAAATCTTGCCAACCGGCTTCAAAAACACGGTTTCGAGAAAAACGCGTTTAAGCACGGCTAAGTACCTAGCTGGCCGCAAGCGCACAAATTCTCAAGGCTTATCTCCGACACTATTAGTCGGTTCAACTTAAAAGCTTAGAACAATAATCTAGCGATTTTGTAGAATTTAATAAGACAATAAAAAAATTGATTTTTTGAAACCCGTAAACTCATGTATACACTGAACAACATGTTCGTCATGAGGCTTGTAGAAAACTATAATCATTATACGTGACCTGGTCTACGAAAAGGGGAGCTAACGTGCAAAAACTAATTTTCTGGGAAACAGCTGTTAAAAATCTCATCTTACATCTGAATCAACTAAAAAGTGAAAATTTATTTTTTGGATTTTTTGACACCTAAGCCCCCTTTCCGTAGACCAGGTCACATATGTCGTATCTAAGAGTGGGGGTAATTCGCATATAAGGTATAAAACCAACCGTAGGTTTCAAATTGTTATTTGGGCCGTTTATCTATTTCTATGCGATATAAAGTCATAATGTAGCACAACTTAAAGACACCGGTCATGCAAAGTTTTACCCCGTTATATTTCTCGTCTTCAGTTTTTTAAGGAAACCCGCACCGTCATTCCCGTAAAGACTTTCCCAACCTTCATGGCCACCATTGTTAACTTAGTCATCAGTTTAACTAAGTACACCCTCAGCCAACTATCCATCCACATTGCCATCGAATTATACAACAACTACGAACCCATCGATTGACTTTAGTGTCATTTCTATGATCAACAAAGAGTTCATGAATATCTAATTTCATTTAAATGACAATACGAACAACAAGTGGCAAACAATGAGCCGTTTATTGGCCTATAAAACAACAGCGAAAGACAAACAAAAAATTAACGGCTTATAAAAATAATAAAAGTAATTTTTAGGCGGATTTATACAATTTATGCGTGATTTTATGCAAATGCATGCAATCGGCTTGCGAGATTCACAAATCGTTATCATAATTCCAAGTGCTGTCGACGCAAATTGCACGGAGCAGCAATATTTATCTATTCATTCAAAACGATAATTTTATTGCACTAAACTGCCTTGTTATCAACTAGGTTTTTGCTATTGTTGCTCTTTTGTGTTGAACCACTGTTGAGTAGGTGAAATTTTTATGACTTTATTTTTTATTATCCATAAATATTTAACATAAAATGACAATCAATTTGCTGCGGTTTGACAATTTGCAGAAACAAACACAAAGCAAAAGCTGAAAACAGAAAACAGAAAAACAAAAACAAATGTGTTTGAAAATGCAAAGGAAACGACGAGAAGAGCACAGAAGGAAGGGACATTGCACAGCAGGGTTGAACCTTTAAATTATGGATTTTATTGTCTGTTTGGCGCCATTTGACAGCTGTGCACCACACTAATGACAACTGACATTTATCGTTTGCAGGAATTTCAGGGCTAATCAAGATTATGTCATATGAAAAGAAACTAGCTCGCCAATGAGAGCAACTGTCCCCACTTACCTATATCTAGGACAGACAAAGATTTGCAAAATGTGCAAAAAAAAAAAAAAAAAAGTAAAAAAGAGAAATTGTGAAGATAATTTAACGCATGCGCAGTGACACAATATGGGATCTAATTATACGATTATATATATTGAATAAATTTGTAATTTATATTTATCCACGATCATTATCATTCCTCACCATTTCGACAAACCCTGAAAATTATTAATCCATTCAAAAGATCATTCAATTTACTTTGCCTTACACCTACATATTTACCATAAATATGTATTATGTGTTTCGACACAGCCAGCTACCATATTACGATATCTATAAAAATCGCTTAATCGAATTTCACTGCTACTTAATTATGTTTAGACCATTTTAAGCGCTTTCGATGGACTGCAAACGCATTATGCATGAATACGTCAAAAACGCTCATAAATTTGATTGTCTTCTCTTCTTAGTAATACAAAATTTGTCGCTGTGGGTTTATGCAAATGTTGTTGGCCAGATGTAACTTGGGTATGTTTGTAAATGGTAACTTACAGAGGCGTCCTCGGTAACTTCGAATTTGAGTCAAATTGGGTTTGTTTTAAATATTCGTTAAACGATGGCGCATCCTTTCCATTGCCCGACCATAAATAAGTTCCAAAAGCAATTACACGCCTGAAGAACAACAAAGCGGCGAGAGTCGATGTATTGTCGGCTAAGTTATTCAAATACGGCGGCGGAGAACTGATAAGGAGCATTCATCAGCTTGTTTATAGAATATTGTCAGACGAAAGTATATAGAATAAAGTCATAAAATAACATGCGCCGATTTCCATGGTATAAGCCTTCTCAACATCGCATATAAGGTTCAATCAAGCGTACTGTGTGAAATATTGAAACCGTCAACAAACTGATATTATCTTATTAGCGTTCCGCTAGGCCAAGAGAATCAACAACTGTCTAGACATTCAAGAAAAGGCCCGTGAAATGAGGAGAGTATTCGACGCAGTACCTGCCGGGGAAAGCAGAGTAAGAGAAAGACCTATACTCTATTGGAAAAACCAGGTGGAGAAGGACCTGACTAGACTTGGAATATGGTACTAAACAGTCAATCGCGTAAGTTGTGTCTACGCTAATAATAAAGAAGAAGAAGTATATACTAATGATCATCGAAACGTGCGGAGCTGAGTTAGCCATCTTGCATTAATATTAGCAAAATATGGAAAGACTTTGTTCATTACTTTAAAATTCTTAATTTCTTCTTCAAAATTGATGTCGACCCACTCAAAGTAATCCCGCTTAAGCTAACGTTTTTTTTTTTTTTTTTCATTCCTCGAAAAAGTTGTTGAAATCAGTTTTCGAACCACGTTTAATGTCTTCAATTACCACAAAACGGTTGTCCCCGAGCGATCGTTTGAGCCTGCTGAATAGCCAGAAGTCACACGGACCGAAATCAGGCGAATGCGGTGGTTATGGCACGATATTGGCTGAAAATCTGCCGAAAAGTACACGAAGAACCAATAGAGTATGCGGCGGTATATTATCGTGGTGGAAAACCCAAAAGTTGTCGGCTTCGCGTAAACGACGCATAACGCTTAAAAAGTATATATTGTTGACAGTTTGGCCGGTTGGAAATGATTTGGAGCGCACCACAACTCGATAATCGAAGAAAACTGTAAACATAATCTTAATGTTTGACTTACTTTGAGGTGGATTTTTCAATTCACTTTTGCCACGATATTCGGCCCTTTGTTCATCTGTTTCCGGGTCGTTAGCATAGATCCAGGACACAGCCAGTAATAAAACGTTTCATGACATCCGCACATAAAATTTAATGGAACTTCTTTGTTGAATAATTTCAATCATTATCGGAAATGCACTTTAAGTATTTCAGAAGACAAGCGTATACTGAACACTAATGATTATTTTGATGTGACACAGCGCTGTACAGATGTCAACATAGAAAAAAAATATTTTCGGTAATGGATTTTCGCACGAAATTTTATATAAAAAAGTCCGACCATTTTTTGCCCACAGTTGTATGTTTTGCAGGCTCTACGGCTTCTCTTTCTAGATATTACGAACTTCTTGTTAAATTTAATATATGTACATACATACATACTTATGTTCAGTGTATAATGAAATAGTAATAATTCTCAGTTCCCTCTAAAGTTTTGGAAAACACCACACATTTTAAATGTTTTAATTTTTATAATTTGAACTGTATATTATTTGGACTGTATCCCCATTGTTTGTTATATATGAAATGGAATAAGATTCAATTGCATTAAAAAATAATAACTTAATTTATATTAACCGGAAATTAAACTGCTTAAACAAGAATAAAATCGAATAAATTAAACTAGCATTCTAAGGCTAAGACTATTTCTTCAATGATTATTAAAACTACATATTCTTACTTCTTAACCAAAACATCAGAAATAATACCTATTTCATTTATTATTTTATTCAGTATCTCATAAGTATATGTAGATTAATAGCTTTGCACCCCATTGCCAACGCCTCTGTTTACTATAGTCAATAGAGTCCATTAAAAGCGGTTATACAAAACCGAAGAACATGCGATATTAAATTAACATAAAATATTATCAAATATGAATAAAATCGACAGAGTAAATCATTTGCTAACATTTAGTCAGGTAAACACAACGAGCAGTGTTTAAAAGTAGTTTTTATCAGACACAAAAAGTATTGCCGACCGCAAATAATATTATTAAATCTTTCTTTAAAAATGTTTGAGTTTGATATTTAAGTTGAAATGAGCTTTAAATGTGCTATTGTTTACGGATATTTATTAAACACTTGTTTCCCCATTGAACAGATACCCTGCCGTGGCACCTCTTAGTGGAAAATCAACTTTGGACACATTCTAACTCCGTTGGGTTCATCTGTTTTTATAAATTTGACAGAATTACGCAATTTTAATGAAGCATTCTTCAATCGACCATAATTTACAAAATATTGGATCCGTTCACCTTATCAACACTAACTTGCTTAAAAAGTTCTCACGGTAACCGCTGCTTTGTTCTTGATAGAAAATATGAGATATACTTGAACATCCTTTTATTTTGGTGATGGATCACTCATTTCATTACTTTAAGTTTTATATTCGGTTATTTCCTATATATTGTATTTTAATACTCTCTTCGTTCTGCAAGTAGTTAGTTTCGCTAGTTATCAGTCGAAATACTCGAACGATTCATCGAAAATTGGACTCAACGGATTGACCATCTAAGACGTAAGTGCAGCCAACATTTGAAAGTGATAATCTCCAGAATATAAATGCTAAATAATGTTCTTTAAAATGATAATAAACAGTCTCCATTAAATTTAAAATTTCTGTGTTTTTTCTTTAAAAAAGTAAGGAACCTCGAAATGGATCATCCTTTATATTAATATATAAAATATGGTCTGTAATAAGTCTGAAAAAATATTCATGCCAAAATATAAAGATAACACATTAAAAAAAAAATATATATATATATATATATATGTACGATTTCATTAATCTTACACCACTGTTATCATCTTCAACTATTATTGAAAGTGTTGCTGCTAATATTTTTCCGCTCAGCAGGGGCCGCTCGTCATTTTCTTTAGCACACATATACACACAGAAAATTATAACTTATTATGCATCTGGTTAAGTGGAGTTGGAGTTACGTTTGGTTATTCACATAAATGCCTGCTTATGCTGCTAATTCGTTGCAAATTGCTAAGCTACAAAGTATGGATTAGTAGCAGGCTACTCTTCACCTTTTAGCCCTGTCTGGATTGCATTGAAAAATTTGGCTATGTCTCTGATTTTGATCATAAACCTACTTTTGCCCTTAAAAGCGCAGATGTTCATACGGAAAAGGGTATATGTGTCTGTAATATAAATGGTTATACAATTCACATTTGTGACGGTATGCATGTGCGTATATGTGTAGGCATAAAAATGATGTGATATGAAAATTTATGCATTTTGACGCTCCCCATTACTGGCTTATTGATCACTCGGAGGTCGTTTAAGCTTTGTTTCTGTAGTTTATGGGCTCTTTTAGTTTTCGGGTTTTTATTTTTATTATTATTATAATTTATTTTCTGGTTTTTTCAGTTTTTATCATCTTTGATGCGATTGTATCTGGATTACTATCGCTCTATCGTTACAAATCGCTCCTCCCTAATTTGGCGACATATAAAAAGTGCACTATTGTCCCTCTTGATTAACAGTTACATTTTAAATTTCACGTTGTAAAGACTTACGGCGGGGATCCTCGTAGTTTGCTCGGGATTTTCGATTAAACAACAACTGAATCGATGATGCGTGTGTTAGTGGTGAGTGCGAAAATTGGTTTAGTGATTTAGAAATCATGTGTGATTGCTAAAATATAGTATAAGAACATTTTAAAAACTTAGTCCTAGTGGGTGTCATAAAAATGCTGTAAATGTTATATGTAAAGTAATTAAATCAATTCAATTAATACATAGTGCACAATTTGTATAGTGTATTGAAAACTTTCGACAACACCATTCACTTGGAAGCGTGATTTCTAACTAACTTTTCTGGCAAACGAATTTTCGATTTCGTTGTTGTGAAAAAAATTAAAAATTAAACAAAAAATTCAAATTTTTTTTTTTAAATCTTAGTCCGAATTACTTATACTAATACGTATTTCAACCGTTCCTATTTTGCAGTTTTCGCTATTTGTAGGGGCAGCTCTTGCGGCGCCTCAAGGCTACAACTATCAATTAAATTACGCTCCGAATTATGACGGCGCCTTAACCTATCCTCAAGTACAGTTACTGCAAAAGTTCGCTGCTAAACAAGAACAATCAGTTACAATTTCCGAGCCACAAGCTGCTGTTCAGAATCAAAATTTTGCACCAGCTGGTAGCTCGCAATTCTCCAATCAGTTAATACAGCTGGCAAGTTATGGCCAGCAACAGCAACAAGCACAGCTAACACAGGGGATTTCGGAGGTTCAACAGGCTCAGAGACAGGGTTTCTCCCAGCCTACACCTTCAGTTGAGCAACAAGTACTACACCAAGTCTTAGTCCAGCCTGTCCAGATACAATCTTCACAGCTAGCTCAACAACTGCCACAAATCTTGGCACAGCCACAAATTCAAGCAGAACCACGGCTTCAACCTCAACTTTTACTTCAGCTTCAGCCACAACCACAAATTCAACAGCGATTTTTGCCACAGTCTCAACCCCAACCTCAACTTGTACCGCAGGTCCAGGCCATCGCACAGTTACAACCACAACCTCAACTTTCACGGCAGCCACTACCCCAGGTCTCCCCACAAACTCCTCAGCCCTTGCCACAATCAGCTCAACCGATACATTTGCAGCACGCATCTGCAGTGCCTCGCGCACCCGAACCCACATACTACAATAAGGAGTACTACTATCTCTCTGCACCCCAGGAAAATTATGAACTACCGCCAGACTTCAATAATCTATTGAGCAAAATGAAAAAGAACCTTAGAGTGGTGTTCATCAAAGCGCCAGAACAGAACGGCCTTACAAAGACAGCCTTGCAATTGCTGAAGGATAGCCAACAACCAAAGACGGCGATTTACGTGCTAACAAAGCAGCATAGTGCCGTTGAACTGGCTAAGAAATTACAACAACAACCCGGCTCAGCCCAACAGAAACCTGAAGTGATATTCATCAAATATCGCACGCGCCAAGAGGCTGAGCATGCGCAACGCACTATTCAATCGCAATACGAATCTCTAAATGGGCCCAATCACTTTAATTCCGAAAGCGTCGTACCAACGCAAAATGTTATCGGTTCTACTGGAGCCATAGAGCCGCGACAGCGCCCAGTGGAGCAGAGCGTTGTGGCAAGTGTGACTACACCGTCGCCACTGGACTACCTCCCGCCGGCGCAGTGAAGCATTTTTTTTTTTTTTTGGTAGTTAATTTATATCTGTGAATATGTGTGATTAGATTTAATAAAACTTATATATATACATCCATTGTGGTCTTTATATTTCTTTGCAATAAAGCAAACTCCATAAACGAATCGAACTGAAAGAACGCCTCATCGATAGTGACCTAAATCCTCATAAGGCGTAGTTTTATTCCAAGTGTGTAAGGCTTGATGAAACTTTTGTCAATCCAGTTTAATAATTGCTTTCAGATTGGAAGGCCTTTAAGGAAGCTGAGGACTTCTCCTCATACTTCACTAATTTTCTGAAGGTCTGAAAGTGAGATCTCACGGTAGGTAGGCACAGGTCTTATAGTCGATCTACCTCCCACACTGTACGTAAGTTATTATATGGCAAATACAAATTTGTGGAGCTACAGAACCTAAGCGACACTTTAAGCATCTTTTTAAATAATCCTTGGAAACTGTTGTCCGACCTTACCAGAGTGTACCAAATCATTCGCTTTTTCTTGGATTCAGTACCGATTTGAGTTTGTCAGTAAAAATCTATTACTATATTTACGGAGCCGTACGAAATGAGTTTTTACGTTAGTACAGTGTTTTGTCACTTTAATATGTGCAAGAGTGTCACCACACCTTCTATCTAAATGAGTTGGTCCAGTTGGGCTCTTCTCAGCCATGGCTGAACTTCTAATTCTATCATTGAAATATGCTTCTCCGTTTGTATAAAGAGTTGTTTGTTTTTTTTTATCTTCGCAAATGTCTTTTTTTCGTGATCGAGTATGGTCTCAAGGAGACCCCACAAAGAAGTTGACTTAAGCTGAAAAATAGCTTCTTAGTTTTATAAATCTCCGATAGTATGAGAGAACTGGACAACTTTTGGTACACCTTTGTTTATTCATTCGAAGATTCGAAGATGTTGACAGAAATTTCGACACCCAATTATTTTTTTGAAGTTCCGGAGGGACGCATAAGATATTAATTACCACGACCTCTTTTCAGCATGACTCCGATCGATCATTTAACTTCTAAAGAAATTCCCTACCATTTGCTAGTATTTGACTTAACTCTGGATCCATTAAGCTAAAGATCTAAGGATATCCACATGCTTCGAAACCAACGACCAACTGAGTGAATATACGGGTTTTTCAATAGGGACGCTACAAAAATAGACCGACAAGGACAGATAACGGCGCCTTATTTTTTTTAACACATCTCTTCAGTAAGGTTTGGCAAACACCTTTTTGGTATTATTAGAATTTACTACCGCAATGAGAAGTCAGTAGCCTCAGCTTTAAGAGCGTGGGAATATTGTTGCCGCTTCCGGAAGACCCAAATCAGTCTCTCAGACGTTTTTCTCAAGCGTTGGGCATTTCTGTAACGTCGAATTTTGCCGAATTTTTCGAAAATATCTTAGCCGACATTCTAACAAGATCAAATTGACGCAAGAATCATCGTAAGTTAGTGAATTGGGCTGAGTAAGAACTCGAAAATGTTCCAGCTTTGCATCGGAAATTTTCTTCAGCGATGAGGCTCCTTTCTGGCTGAATGGCTTTGTCAATAAGCAAAATATTATTTATTGGTTCGGTGCGGTTTAAGGTACGGTGGGCATACTTCCTCCACAATGATCAAGACCAGCACGTTACTGCTACCGCTTAATAATAACCGCATATTTTTAGTCCGCATTCGATAATATGGACTTGGAGAATATGTGGTTCCAGAAGCCAGGCAGTGAATGTCACGATCGATTCATTGAAAACCAAGTTTGTTTAACGTGTTATCTCTGGATGGTGTGACGCCGTTAAACTATTTTCCGCGGGGCTACGTCAAGTCTATGATTTTCGTACGAATATCGAATGTGAAATTAGCGTAGTCTCGGCAAATTTAAGCTTGAAACCCGTCAAAAATTAGGTTCAGCTTCTATTCTTTTGCAAACGTTCCCGTGGTGGGCATTCAAAGGAAATCGAATTTACTTTCACTGGGATAAAGAATTTCAGCGGTCTTATTGAAAACCCTGTTATAAACTATGCATCAAAGTTGTTTGTAATAAAAATCCACTAATTTTAATTCGATATACTTAAAGACATATTTTTTTTTTTATTTATAAAGAAACTTATACATTTAGTTAACAAGGAACATCTGGACTTAATTACTATTTAACAAATCGTTTGATAAATCTATAGCATTAGACGCCAGTGAATTTATTAAACTTTGTTTGGTGGCAGATAAGCACCATCCACGCTACCGATTGGCTGTTGAGCTACAGGAGCGACTGGCTTTGAAGCGAAATCCAAAACTGGAGCGACACCACCACTGAAGCTGCTAGTATTACCACCCAAATCATCATATTGCGATTGAATAGCTTGCTTGGCATTCTCAGCATCAGCTGGTGTCCTATACTTGACGAAGTGTACTTCTGGTTTGTATGCGTTACGATGATCGACTGAGTTCAGTTTGTTGGCCAAATCACCGATGTCAGCTTGTTTGTTCAGCACATAGATGGCGGTACGTTCCTCAACAGCGTTTTTAGCCAACAATTGCACAGCGGCATTCTCGAGTGCAGAGTTCTGTGGTCCCTTAACGAAAATAACACGCACGTTTTTCTTCAGCACATTAGCGATGTCACCGGCATCCCCGGCATCATTGAACTCATGCTCGGGTGCAGTGTAGCTGAAGAATTCCTTGTTAAGCTCGGGAACTGGTGCCGGAGCACTGTAACTGGGACCAGCAAGAGCTTGTCCGCCATAACTTGGCCCAGCAAGAGCCTGTCCGCCATAACTGGGTCC